CCGCCATCGTCGCCCGCCGCACTCTGATCGCTGCCTCCCGCCGCTCCCTCCCGCCGCCGAGTGCTGGCACTGACGCTGCCGCCTCCTCCTCCCTCCTTCGCCCCCTCCTCTCTCCTTCGCCCCCTCCTCCCTCCTTCGACGTCGTCCTCGTCGACAGTCCTCCCTCCTTCGCCGTCGTCGTCCTCGTCAACAGTCCACCGTCGTTGTCCGTGTCGGCGGCCCTCCTCGTCACCCCTCCTCCCTCCTTCGTCGTCGTCCGTTGTCGTTTCGAAGTCCGCAGTCCCCCGTCCCCCGTCGTCGTCCTCGTCGGCTCCTCCCTCCGTCGTCGTCGTCGGTCGGCCGTCACGAGCCTGCACAAGAATGGGCAGTGCTGACTTCGAAACCGGCCCCGCCCGAAGTGTTTGTTTCTGGGGGGGAAGGCCTGCAGAATTCGAATTCGAAATCTGCAGAATTCGAATTCGAAATCTGCAGAGTCTGCAGACCTTTCCCCCAAAAAAACACTTCAGGCCGCGGGGGGGGCCGGTTTCGAAGCCGGCGCGGCCTGTTTTCCAATTTTGGGAGGCCGGGGGGGCACCGAACTAAAACCCCACCCCCCCTTCTTTTTTTTTTTTCCGACCCTATTTAATTTGGTGCGCCGTACCCGGTGCGGGGCGCAGTGCGGTGCGCTGCGTGCGCAACTCGTGCGCTGAGGTGCGCCGCAAGTATGGTCAGCAGGACTGGCCCAACGTCCAGACCGAGTCTGCAGCGCCTGGAATAAGTCAAAATCCAGGTACCGTAAACTCGACAGTCAGGCCCTACCCGAACAGCAGTCTTTCAGGTGTCAAAGTTTTCTCCAGAATGTATCCCACACACCTCACAGCTGTACAGCCTGTCACGCCCTGCGTCGGGCACCCGCCAAACGAGGCAAACCGCTCACAGCAGCCAAACACTGTGCGATTCACTCGCCAACAAGAACAGTAGTGTACATCCACGCTGCCGCCTTCTTACCTACTTCTCGCTGTCCCTCGTCCACTCCTCCTCCCTCCTCCACATCTTCCCTACAATTATTATCATCGTAGTTTGAAAGTATACGTGGATCACCACAACATATCAAGAATGAACAACTGGGGAACTGCGCCGAAGTATGACGCAAAAGTTTCTCTCCTCTCTTCTTCCACAGCCGCGTCCAACCCGAAGTCTTAACTGCCAAGTATCAGGCCCCCACTGACCTCTTCTGTCCCTAATGGGCTGGGGCTTGTCCAGCTACCAGTAGCCTAATACCTGCAGCTGCAGCCAGCACAAGTGCGTCTTCCTCAGTCTGCGCTTAGGCAGCATAGCGGCATTCTCCAATGTGTGCTTCGACTAGATCGGCTATAGACTTATATTTATTGAAGGCCCCCAGTTTGACGGCCTGGGCCCGGTCTATTTTAGAACTTGGGCCTGTTCAGAACTTTCCCTGGGCCTGTAATCGCTGTACCTTTCCACTTTACAGGCAGGGTAGAGAAGTCATGGAAAGCTATGGTCCCCTAGCCCTATCAGGTGAACGCCAAATCCGTTTTAGCAGGTGATTGTCAACATGTGTGGTAGGGAAATTGCAGAAATATCCCGAAGGTCAGTTGTGAAAATGAACAAGGATGAACGGTCTGGCTCAGTTGGTACGTGCTCTGCACTGCTCAAGTAGACACGTGAGCTGGAGCCCAGATGGAACTAGTCGAATGAACTTCTGAAGTACCTGGGGTTGGTCAGTTCCACGATGATATCTCAAGGCCGTAATGGCATAACCCTTTCGAAAAAGGAAAAGAAGTGAGGAGAGAGAAAAAAAATAAAATAAAAAAATCATTATCAAGCGCAAAATTGGAATGACAAATCTACAGAATTTACTGGTATGGTAAGCGTGGGGTCTTACAAGAAAAGTCGAGCATGCCACAGATCACATTCAAATTTCAAATCCAAAGGCTCAGATATTATTTCCAGAAGCTTGCAGGACCCTACCGGGTCCAAGCAGCCTTGGACTACGCCTGCTTTGAGCTGCCTAGACGGAGAGGAATCTTAGCTAACCGTCTGGACCAGGAGGAGGTAGGTCAGACTGGTTAAGTAGAAATAGGTCTGCCCCCTTGGTAACTCACATGCTGCCTGGCACATTGTTGCTGAACCAGGGCTGAGAGCTACTACAGCAGAGCTACTGGGAGAGAGCTCCATCACCAGGAGAGAGAGAGAGAGAGAGAGAGAGAGAGAGAGAGAGAGAGAGAGAGAGAGAGAGAATGAATCAAGCAGCAAGCTTAGATTTGGTTGTGGCGTCGAGAATTTGTCTCATCGGTTGGTCCTTAATTCAATATATACGCACCTTCTAAAGTCTGATCCCTAACTGTACAAGCATGTTTAGGAGGTGGGTGGGCCTGTTGCAGGGAGAGAGAGTGTGTTGTACTGCTGCGTACATGGCAGTCGCCGCTCAGGGCTCAAAGAGGTGGATTAGTAGTGCCATAAGTCTATTTTAGCAACTATAAAGCAGCATGGAGGTAAATTCCTAGCAGCAAACTGTATCCATTGTGCAAGGACGTTAACCCCCATGCTGTTTTCATTCTTTATTTTTTTGCTTGCTGGAGGCTTTGGGATCCTAGTGCAAGCTGTATCTACTGTTCTGTTCTTTACATTCCTTTTTTTCTCTCTTTCTTCTTCTGGAGAGACACTACAGCCTTGAGACCGGCCCCAGGTAACTCAGTGTTATGTTGCTATCAAATTGCCTACCTTCTTCCCCCGAATACAACGAACGGTCATTATAGCTGTATCTAGACGGAAAGGTGACTCACATACAGCCATAATGACCGTACGCTGTATTCGGGGGAAGAAGGTAGGGATTCAAACTTGTCTCTTTAAGTTCAGATGAAATGTCAGAGGGGTATTCCATTTTACCCACATCTTTTAGGTGTATTTTAGCGTGTATGTCAACTTTCAAGGATTTTTTTTTACTATTTTGCAAATTTTCCCCTGTTCTTTTTTTTTTCCATATTAAAAGAAATTATTTTTTTTGCACGGGGGCCGCACAGGACCCTTCCCAGGGGTCCTGCACAGCCGGGAAGCGAGGTGTGTCTCGTGCCGGGGCGCACAGAATCCAGCAAAACACAAAATTTGGTTCCGAAGGAGATCTTTTCTGCTGCACACAAGAGGTTCTCCCCCAGGTAAATGCCCCAATTGCTCTTCCCCATGTGGATTGAGGAATTGCTTCATCATCGCTTCACAGCAAAGGTTCTTTGGGTACCGAACGTGCCCCCGCCCCCAGCAGGTCCATCCACACTGCAGGCTGGTGGATGGTTCAGTCCACATCCACACTGGCCGTGAAACGGACGCCATAACCTTGGGAACAGCCTAAACTGTCAAAGCTTTGATGTACCTGGGGAAGAGGCCTCCTCTGGTACGTGGCCAAGAAGCCTCTGGGAGGTGGGGAAGAACCTTCACTGTGTATGAGTGCGGAAGGATCAATTGTTTTGTGTCTTAACTTATTAAGAACTGGAATTCGTTTACGTTATGAATTTGATTTTAACAGCTTGTTTGTGATGACGACTCTGGCTTGGAATCTATTCTTGCAGGGGCTGTTGCCTGTTTACATCTGCGATCATGACACGTCTCCACCAGGTTAGGGTTCTCAGTTTTTGTGCCTACCTTCTTCCGCCGAATACAACGTACGGTCATTATAGTTGTATTTAGACTGAAAGAGGCACCAGATACAGCTATAATTACTGTACGTTGTATTCGGGGGAAGAAGGTAGAAATGCCTGTGTGCTATGTTGTATCAACTTGTATGTCTATTCGTTTGAGTTGTAAATTGGAAGGAAAAAAAAGGAGAGGGTGGAGGGGGAAGGGGGAGTATAGCCCCCAACGCGATTGCGTCCATGAGGATTTCGAGCTCATGATCTGTATTTCAACAGTTAAATGTGTAATCACTGTAATGAAATAGCTCTTTGTTAAAGCACCACCACCTGGCCTTGCTCACTGAACTTTTGAAATACAGACCCGAGTTCAAACTCCAGTGGGAACAGATGAGTAAAATCCTACATTTACCGTCTTGACCCGAAAATAATGTCCGGGTGTTGTATATGAATATAACTCCCGGCGACGCCTGGCGGGCGTTATATTCCTTTATAACCTAGGCTACCAGAGTGGCGTGGGACCACTTGCCCGGCCTGGCCGATTTGTTTTTGTAAATAAAAATATATGGCAGTCGTTGATGCTGAACCACAGCCGGGATTAAGGTGGATTATCACTTACAGTCTAATCAGTTATAGCCTTATAGGGGATTCTGCCGACTGTTGAGGGTTCAGCCTCCTGATGAGTCGGTGAAACTCCGACAAAACAGTTTGTCACAACCCCTCGTTTGTTGTCCTCTTCGAATATGAGCCTCGTAATCTCGCTATGTGCTGGAACACCTCGGAAGGTTTGACGATATATATATTTTTTATTTAACTTGGTAAAGAATTTCGATGCGACCGTGAGGCAAAAGTTGTTCAGTTTATTTTTCTGCATGACATTTTTTTTTTTGAGTGTATTTTTTTTTTTTTTTTTTTTTGTTTTGACCTTCTCTGGTCTGCCCGGGCAAACAAGTTGATCCAGGCCGCCCAGCTGGTAGCCTAGTATAATGCCGGGCGTTATATTCAGTAAAGTGGTGCCAACTTCAGTGGGCCCCCAAAATAAAATAAAAAAAATCAAAAAATTCTCAATGGAGTAGGATCCACTCGCGTCAAGAGGAGCAGGGAAAATGCTTAATGATTGGGTGGGAGGGGGGAGGTGTTTAGAGGATGTGAGAATGCAGGGAGTAGGAAATTTAACTCAGGAATCACGCTTTGTTCGTCAACAGTTACAATGTTCCTTTGTGCTCCCTCTGTTGTTAATAACAAGCTTGTCTTGGGTAGCAGTTAGAAAGCCTGAATCAAAATCTTAAGAACACACACACACACACACACACACATACTTACATACACACACACACACATACACACACACACACACACACACACACACAGAGAGAGAGAGAGAGAGAGAGAGAGAGAGAGAGAGAGAGAGTTGACTAACAAACAGATGACGAGTCCAAGTCCTGGTGATCATCAGTATTTAGTAGCGAAGCTTTTGCGAACATGCAGTTCTGCCTTCAAATCTTTGCAATAGCAGTACTTGTCATGGACTCCATGGATGTGTGCCGTGTTTGGGCTTCCCCCTCTGCAGAGGATCAGTTCATCAGGACAGACCCGACAAATATTTTGATTCGAGCTTTGAAAAAGGGCAAGGATGATTCAAAGGCCAAAGATCTCAAAGGCAAGGCGGCTCAAGAAGACCATAAGGGGAAAAGGTAGGTTCATGCTGAAGTCTTTAAGATCTGTTATTGTTTTCTCGACCCCCCCCAAAAAAAAAAAAAATAATAAAAAAAAAATTGAAAGCATTCAGTTCTTGATTTATGGGCAATTGTGGTGAAAAAAATAAATAAATTAAATACTGTTGGGTCGGGATCCTGTGGACATCGCTTGAATTAAAGTGTACTTCTGAATATTGAATAGTTTCGTGAAGAAATTAAAAGAAAACATTGAAAAGTTTGAAACCCGTTTCCCAATGACTATCTATAATTCCATATGCTTATGCCACTGGAGCCATAGCTGAAAGGTTTTATTATATCTAGCTGTAAGGGCTTTATTATATCTCGCTGTACGGAGCCATTTACATTGAGTTGCATGGCAGATGATACTAAAAGAATGACATACATGGAAGTTGATTGAGCGTTGCATTCATTATTGGTGTGCATCTAATTAGAGTCAGAAACGAATCGTCAATCCAACTGCTGGTCCAAGCGCTGATACAACTGCGGATGCATAACGCAACGGCATAACTTTATATGATCATAGCTGCGTAGCATCGTGTTCACGTTCAGAGGCAAACTAATATGTTTGCCCGAATGCGAACGAGCACCCAAAACCCTCCGAAAGCAAACATAAAAAGAAAAAAAACATCAAAAGTCTCAGAAAAATCTGAAAAAAAACTATATGTCATGTAGAACAACAATACAAGTAACTTTGGCCTTGGAGTCATGTTCAAATTCTTAGCCAAACCTGAGTTAAAAATCAAAAGCCGAAAAAACATTTTTGTTTTTTTTACAAACATGTTCGCAAGCCGTTCGCGCGAACGGACAAACACGTTCGCCGTGCTACGCAGGATTATAGTATCACCATAATATTTGATATGGCCTGGAAAAAATACCTTATCCCTGAAAATGGTAGTTTGGCATTGTGTGAAAACAATTCTGTGCACTGAGCAAACTAAAACCAGAAAGTTGTGAACGAAGAACATTAGGCCCAACCATATGCCCTCGAATAAATAGTAAATACCTTACTGTTGAAATTGGAATGTGACATTGATGTGTGAGATTTGGCTGTGAAACCAAGGGAGCACATTGTCACTATCAATGATAATTCAATATTTGATTGTCTTTTTTATTCCTCCGTCTCTTTGTCTCTCTTGTCCCTCTTTTTCTATTTCTCTCTCTCTCTCTCTCTCTCTCTCTCTCTCTCTCTCTCTCTCTCTCTCTCTCTCTCTCTCTCTTCCCTCCTGCTCTCTGTCTGTCTGTCTGTGTGTCTGTCCTGTCCTATCAGTGTGTCGCTGCATCCTTGCATAGCACGCGGTATTGATTACTTGGAAACTCGTCAGGCTCGTAATCTGAGTTTTGTAGGTTCCAATGCCACTTCTGCTAATCACAAGTGCTTCTACCTGTTTCTTACTATGGGGAAAGAAACTCGACATGTCTCTCACTTTAGGGGAGAAGTTGTAACTGATTTAATTAAATACTGTGGTCAATTTCCTATAGATTTAAATTTTAATTAAAACACTAGTACCTCCGAGCCTGTTTTTGCAGACCCTGAATTTCACTGTGCTCCGAGTTTGCTGAGGCTGGGTCCAACTCCATTTCTTTATGGTACTCTCACGGGGAGGAAAAAAAAAAGAGAAAAAAAAAGAAGAAAAGTTGCGGCCGTGAAAGTCACAAATATACATTCTTGGAAGTGGTAGTGTGTGTGTCCTCAGTGAGGGCATCTCAGCCCCGTGGCCAGGTTGTCAGATTCCAAAAATGCACACAGAAAAAAAAAAGCCAGAAACACGGATTCGCCCGTGAAAATGGCTGGATACGTTCGTGCCAGTGTGATGAGGGTTACAATCCTTTGAGGAAAAACAGCTAGAGCAGATCACGGATTCAGAAACAGAAAAAAAAAAAAAAAAAAAAGAAACGGAAACACGGATTCGGCCGTGAAAATGGCTGGGTATATCAGGGTTACAATCCTCTGAGGAAACACGGCCAGCGCAGATCACGGATTCCGCCCCTGCCTCGTTGGCAGGGGACTCGTAACAAACAAATGAGAAATAAAAAAAAGAAAACAACAGGTTTCAGAATGTGACTGTCTTTGCTGTAGGGTGCATTCTGTAGAGGAAGACTGTGAGCATGGTCTCCTAGACTACCCTGCCCGACCATCATTGAAGTACAGAAGCCTTTTTTTTTTTTTCCTTTTCCTTTCACGTGCAGCCAAAAGAAGACTAAGATTTATGGGACTCGCCGACCCTGGGTCCCACCCCCAATTTTTTTGGGGACAGACCATTACATTGTAATTTCCCAACACTGGCACAGGTGCCGGATTAAATGTCGATAAGACAAGGTGACTGACATATGTCAACTGGTATGGTTCTCGTACCTGGGCTTGATCCCTGGACCTCGTGCTGGGCACTTGATGTCAATCTCGCAGCATGTCCCCAGTACTAGCCACTTCTTTTTTTTTCCTTCTGTTTTTTTTTTACAGGGGCCATGCTAATCTTCTCTGTAATCGTTCCAATTTTAACAGATGTCCCGAAGGACAATACCAGCCACTTCTATAGTCCTGTCGCTTGCCTTTTTTGCCGATACTTAAGTACTGGCTTATGTCAGACATACCTCAGATGCCAGTCTAGTTGTTAGGCTGCTCCTGGGTATAGGTACTGGTCACTCACATGTGTGTGACGTCTTGTGCTGTACTCTGGTTCTTGCCATTGTTTTTCTTTTGGTCAATAGCCTTCCGAGTCCAGACCTTTTTCTCTATACTACTAAAGGAAAAGCCGGGTCTCGCGTGACGCCGGCGTGAGACCCGGTGTCGAGGTTTGGGACCTCGGGTGGCGGGCCCAGGCCGAAAAAGACACCACACAAGAGAATCCCGACCGTTGGCTCTACGAACAGGAGCGGCCTGGGGAGGCCTGCCGACCGTCGGGCCTACGGCGCGGACTGGGGAGGCCGCAAAGCAGAATCGACGAGCTGCTTGCCATGTTGTAGCGGAAGATTCATTTGATTTCGCTCATGCTATCGATGGAAGTCGTGTGGGGGCAGCCGCGAGGTTGGAGACTCACCTGTTGGCCGGTGTGTTGCTCATCCTGTCGATGGGAATCTCTCTGTCTATCTGTCTCTCTCTCTCTCTCTCTCCCTCTCTCTCTCTCTC